TCCATCCCACATGAAGATCCTCAGCCTGCTCAGGAAAACCATTACGCAGCTGCAAACCACAGCCCAAAATATTTCAAAACGGGTATGAAACACAAGCCCTGGACCCCCAGGAAGGGGTTTCGGCTGCGCTGGTCCTTCCTGCAGCACGAGGGGCCAGCGCTAGCACCCGCGGAGCGCACACCAACCCAGGCGAAAGGCTTTTAAAAGGCACTTTAGCTACTATTTGTTTTAAATCTAAGGAATGGTCCACCCATCACATGCGGCTTTATTGATTTACTCTGTACTCAGAAAAAAAGAACAACAAACCCTGTATCTAGCTGACAAGAAAAAAAAAATTTAAAAATCCAATTGAGATGGTATTTCCAGGACAGAATTACAGCCCTGGCTCCCCAGCCTCCCATCCCCGATCATCTTTTACACGAGAAGTATTGGCAGGCTCCTAGTTATAACCAAGTAATGGCCCATCAGCTCTCTCCCTGGATTATATATTAACTCCGGGTTCTCCTGCAACATCTGCCTTCCTCTCCTTCCCCCTTGAACACCGATCAGCTCTCCCAGGGGACACCCCAGGACTGCCCCAGACCCTGCACGCCGCAGCACCCATGCGGGTCCTGGACCGAGCTCAGCTCCTCTAGCAGACCTGCACCCACCACGATGGGAGTGATAGAGCTGCTTTCTGTACGCGGACAGATGTTTCTGAGCAAAATGAAGCCTACAGGTAGAGGAGATGAAGCTGATTAAGCCTCATTATCCTATTTAGTGTAATGATCACAGAGCCGAGAGGGAATCACGAGATCGGAAAGAATAAGGTGGTTAATAGAAGCGCGTATGCACGTGGGCAGGCAGGTACGGCCGAGCTGACGTGCAGCCCACGAGGGGTTTATTATCTTCCGCTATGGCCAGCTTGCTTTCTCCTCACCCCTGCCCATGTCACCTTCCCAATCCCACCAGCATCACATCTGTGAATTCCCGCTTACTCGGAGGAGCATTTAAGGGCGGTGATCCGGAAAAGGCAGGAGCAAGGGAGGTCCTGAAAGCCACAGCTTCAACACAGGCGCTCCGCTGCAGCTGGACCCAGCATCCCACCCAAAGCCCACCCATGTGGGCATGGGAACACTTGTGAGAATTCCAACAGCCTGCAGCACCACCGGGAGAGGTCTTGGGGATCCGGCAGCTCGAAGACAAAGGCAACAGACACGCATGTGAAAATTCAGGAGCAAAAGCAGCCAGGGACTGTCTGAAAGGTGGAGTCAGGGCTGGATGCATCCTCTGAACTCTTGTGGGATTCCCCTGGGAAGAGGGAGGCCGGAGCAAGGAACCCATCACGGAAACCCAATAAAACATCACACTCTGAACAAAAGCCAGCCAAGTCAGCAGAGCTGCAAGACAGATTTGAAGGATGAGAATAATACTTAATTCCAGCATTCTTATGCGTTACAGTAGACCCAAAATAGCTACTCAGCGATCAGGGACCTACTGCACTGAGCGGTATTTTTAAGTGAACTCTCCCTCAAAGGCTTCAGGTCTTGGCATCGAAGACCCGCAGCCCCAACCCTTTTTAGTAAAGGTAATAGCGTCTCGTACACCGCCCCATCACCTGCCCCTCTCCATCCAGAAGCCTCCTCAAATCCCGGTTGAAAGCCAAGTTCTTACTTAAAAAGTAGCCATAAGGTTAAACTAGAGCAAAGAAAGGAGAGAAACCTGTTGTGGCATCATCGGGGCCAGTGGAGGGAAGAAACAGACGGGCCGTTCGTTAGTGGTTTAAGATATTTCTGAAACTACAGCAACGTCCTGCTGCAGAACCAGCCCTGCCACCGCCTCCCCAGCCACCGAACCCAGCGCAGCTGGTAAAGACACACTTTGGCTGAACACGACATGCAAGGAGACGGTTGCCAAAATAAGGAAGAGCCCCTTTTTTAAAACTCCTGAGGTCCGTTTCTGCAATGGTCTCGCTCTCCAAACCCACCCGAAAGCCCCGTTGTGGTTTGCTGTCCTCCACCAGCCAAGCCAAACGCTCCCAGGTCAGCATCTCCTCCTCCATAAAGTCAGCTAAAGGACGAACAAACACATTAAAGTCTTCACGTGGGGAAATGGCACAAGATAAAGATGTAATAGATTAGATCTGTCTTTTGTAAGGAATTCAATGACTACAGCTGTTCGGCATCATTAACCAATTTGTCTTGGAGGCTTAACCCTCCCACCAGCCCCAGCTCTGCCATTCAGCAAACACTCTGGTACCACCAGAGCCGCCCAGCTCCCAGTGGGGCTGCAGCATGAGTGAAGCCTTGCTCCCTCCCAGGGGAGCAGGGCTGGGGTGATAAGGAGTCATTAAAAGCTTTTACTACCTGTTGCTATCCAGCAAACCAATTAGGGAGGAGTGCCAGGCAGCGAGAGAGAGCTCTCTGTGCAAAGAGCAGCCTGCTAAAAACAGATCCCTCATCATCCCTGCCCTCCCAGGGACAGCACGCCCCATGGTCTTGCCAGCATCCCTTCCTCACCTGACTTTAGGGGGGGCTGGGGGGGAACCAAGCCTGAGATTTTAACAGATTTAGAAAGAAGCAAGACTTGTTGGAAGTGAAGTGCAATGGCTTAACTCTTGTCTGAGCAGCACTGGTTCCTGAGAAGTCTGGGCTCCAAGTGAAGGGAGATGCATCTTGAGCCAAATTCCCCTGCCAGCACAGCCTCGAGGACGGCTCAGGACTGACCAGGCATTTGCCGATTTTCATTTCAACACATTCAGCTTTAACCTCTACCCACGCTCCTTCCACAGCATCCCTCGTAACTTCGCCAAGTCTCTGGGTACCCTGTCCTCTCCCTAAAGCATCCCAAAAGTCCCATCCCCTGCCCATTGCAGAGTCTCTGACCAGCCCCAGGAGCCATCACCGCTGCCTCTGGGCAGGGAGCGCAGGAACCCCCCACCCACCGCCAGCTCTCCTGACCCTGCCTGAGTTATCTGGGGGAAGGACAAGCGGCGTTTTGCATTTGCACAAGCTCTGACAAGGTGGGTCCTGCCCGCTATCCGGCTGGAGGAGACACCCCAGCGCAAGGACACCCACTTTTGCAGGAAGCAAGACACACAGGCAGCAGCATTAGCCACAGGGTGTAAACCCTCTTGGAGCTCAGCGTTAGCACACGCACCAGCTATCAGAAGTCCCCTGGGACAAGTGTGTGGTGGCACATGCTCTCCCGCACGGTGCAAACAGCTGTGTCGAGCCAGAGGAGGCAACAGCTCCTCTCCCGTTGGTATTTGAACTGGATTTAAAGCAAGATATAGTTGTATATTTTTTATATATATTGCGCTGCTCCCTTACAAGACCATCGCCCTCGCCACCGTGCACGCTGGCCGCCCTTGCCACCACTCCATCCTGCTCTTTGCGACGGAAGAATTTCACTCCCCCGACGCTCTTCCCCCTCCACACGCTCCCATTTCAAAACGCAGCAGAGACGAACGCTGGCCCCATCGGGAAGAAGCGGGTTTTGTGGTGCAACTGTTTATCTACCCTGTTGGGAAACATCAGCTTCGGGCAGCTGATCAAATACATCCCGGGCCCCATCCAGCACCTTGTAACAAGGGTGATCACTGCGATGGCCAACGCAGGCAAGAGACCTCAGGTTACTGAGAGCAGAAGAAAAAAAAAGCCGGGTTCGGTGGCAAACGGCTTCCAAGGGCTCCTGGTGCCCAACGGCAGCCCCCCGCCCCCCCCCCCCACCCGCCAATCTGCTGCCGTGCTCCTGCGGCCACCGGTCTGCAGGTCCCTGGCTGCCCCGTCACCGGGTGGATGCTCCTGTCACGAGCCGTTGCGTGTAGAGCAGGCTGATATCATGAAAGCCACAGATGATGGCCCGGGGGCCCCCCCGGCCCGCCCCCCCAATCCTGCAAAGGGTTCGGGAGCCCCAAGAAGAGCCAGGACACGGGCAGGCAGGCGGAGGGAGGCCAGGCTTTGCTTT